AGAACTGAACTAGAACTGAACTAGAACTGAACTAGAACTGAACTAGAACTGAACTAGAACTGAACTAGAACTGAACTAGAACTGAACTAGAACTGAACTAGAACTGAACTAGAACTGAACTAGAACTGAACTAGAACTGAACTAGAACTGAACTAGAACTGAACTAGAACTGAACTAGAACTGAACTAGAACTGAACTAGAACTGAACTAGAACTGAACTAGAACTGAACTAGAACTGAACTAGAACTGAACTAGAACTGAACTAGAACTGAACTAGAACTGAACTAGAACTGAACTAGAACTGAACTAGAACTGAACTAGAACTGAACTAGAACTGAACTGAACTAGAACTGAACTAGAACTGAACTAGAACTGAACTAGAACTGAACTAGAACTGAACTAGAACTGAATTAAAACTGAACTAGAACTGAAACACAACTGAACTAGAACTGGACTAGAAGTAAAGCAGAACTAGAACTGAAATGAATGGTTAACTTTAGTTTATTTTTAGAAATATTCGGATTTTTGTTCAGTGTATTTTAATATAAAAATTACCCCACATAAATAACAAACCGGCAAATTTAAAAACGTAAGCGAAAAAAAAAGAAATAAGAAACGAGAACAAATTTACAGACAGACATTACAAAAAAAAAAAAAAACAACAAGGGAAAAAGCGTAATTAATGATCGAGAAAAGTTTTCATTTTGTACTTTTTGAGTGTAAAAACAATTGGGTTGTTAAAGACACCACAAGATTAAGAATCTTTTTTTTAATACAATTTAATGTATTTTTAAAATATTCACATGAGTTATTAAGATAAACAATATAAAATTTGAATTGATTTTTGTTAAATAAAATTCAAACTAAGAGAGGGAGAGAAAGTATAATTCTTTCTCATTTTCAAAATTATAACGGATGTTTTCATTTAAAACTTTTTGCTTTCATTTAAATGTTCATACTACCAGTATAATTTCTTAAGAGTTTGGTTTGAGATTTTTAAACGCAAATAAGAGTTGTGAAAATTAGTTTAGTTTTCAACAAAATAATAAAAAAATTAAAACAGTATTTAAATTTTAAACAATTATGCTGGTTGTCTCTACATAATTTTTGCCATATTCGTATGTAGGTTTATAATTTTTGACCTTGTGTGTTCGTATAAATGAATAATTTTATTTATTATTTTGTTTTTTTTGTTTTTCGAGTACAAATATAATTTTCACATGGCCAATTTGCATTAAGTCGGTTATTTGTTCTAGTCAATTTTTGTATATAGACTTCTATATAGAGTAAGTTCTTGACATACTCTGAATAAACGTGAGTGTAAGAATATGAAATGAGTACAAAATGTTTAAAATGTTATAGATATAAAAAATATAAATTGTTAAATATAAAAAAAAATTACTTTATAAAGTAATTTGATACTTTTTTTAATTTGCTTAGTTTATTTTTCTTTTCTTCATCTTCTTTTGCTAACAAAGATTCATTACAGTCCATATTTGTACAGATTTTAAATACCGGGTGTGCTGTTGTATATAAAAATGATACGCATGCGTAGCCTTATATTGGAATTTTAAATATAACAACAACTATCAAAAGTAAAAAAAAAAATCTTAAACAGGTGTTTCTTACTTACAGTACTAAAGTACAAATATGAAAAATTAATGAAATTTAAGTCAAGTATAAAACTATTTTTATGATATTTATTCAGTGCTTCTTTTTGTTGCTTTGGTTTTTGCCCTTTTACTAGGAAAGACATATACATACCTACATCTTAAATTTCAATTATAAATATGTAGTATATAAAAAAAATATATATAAAAATATCCATATTCATCAACTATTACGAGGCTCTTATTGAATTTTTTGAGAAAAATACGTCAATATTTTTTCGCCAATTATTTCTAAAATTTTTTAAAATTCAAAAACTGAGAAATTTAACATGAACTGAACCAGAATAAATCGAGAACTGAAAAATAATTATAGTAGAACTGAACTAGAACTGAACTAGAACTGAACTAGAACTGAACTAGAACTGAACTAGAACTGAACTAGAACTGAACTAGAACTGAACTAGAACTGAACTAGAACCGAACTAGAACTGACTGAACTAGAACTGAACTGAACTAGAACTGAACTAGAACTGAACTACAACTAGAACTGAACTACAACTAGAACTGAATTACAACTAGGACTGAACTACAACTAAGACTGAACTACAACTAGAACTGAACTACAACTAGAACTGAACTACAACTAGAACTGAACTACAACTAGAACTGAACTAGACTGAATACAACTAGAACTGAACTACAACTAGAACTGAACTACAACTAGAACTGAACTACAAACTAGAACTGAACTAACTAGAACTGAACTAGAACTGAACTAAACTAGAACTGAACTAGAACTGAACTAGAACTGAACTAGAACTGAACTAGAACTGAACTAGAACTGAACTAGAACTGAACTAGAACTGAAGAACTAGAACTGAACTAGAACTGAACTAGAACTGAACTAGAACTGAACTAGAACTGAACTAGAACTGAACTAGAACTGAACTAGAACTGAACTAGAACTGAACTAGAACTGAACTACAACTAGAACTGAACTAGAAACTGAACTAGAACTGAACTAGAACTGAACTAGAACTGAACTAGAACTGAACTAGAACTGAACTACAACTAGAACTGAACTAGAACTGAACTAGAACTGAACTAGAACTGAACTAGAACTGAACTAGAACTGAACTAGAACTGAACTAGAACTGAACTAGAACTGAACTAGAACTGAACTAGAACTGAACTAGAACTGAACTAGAACTGAACTAGAACTGAACTAGAACTGAACTAGAACTGAACTAGAACTGAACTAGAACTGAACTAGAACTGAACTAGAACTGAACTAGAACTGAACTAGAACTGAACTAGAACTGAACTAGAACTGAACTAGAACTGAACTAGAACTGAACTAGAACTGAACTAGAACTGAACTAGAAATGAACTAGAACTAAACTAGAACTGAACTAGAACTGAACTAGAACTGAAGTGGAACTGAACTAGAACTGAACTAGAACTGAACTAGAACTGAACTAGAACTGAACTAGAACTGAAGTGGAACTGAACTAGAACTGAAGTGGAACTGAACTAGAACTGAAGTGGAACTGAACTAGAACTGAACTAGAACTGAACTAGAACTGAACTAGAACTGAACTAGAACTGAACTAGAACTGAACTAGAACTGAACTAGAACTGAACTAGAACTGAACTAGAACTGAACTAGAACTGAACTAGAACTGAACTAGAACTGAACTAGAACTGAACTAGAACTGAACTAGAACTGAACTAGAACTGAACTAGAACTGAACTAGAACTGAACTAGAACTGAACTAGAACTGAACTAGAACTGAACTAGAACTGAACTAGAACTGAACTAGAACTGAACTAGAACTGAACTAAACTGAACTAGAACTGAACTAGAACTGAACTAGAACTGAACTAGAACTGAACTAGAACTGAAACTAGAACTGAACTAGAACTGAACTAGAACTGAACTAGAACTGAACTAGAACTGAACTAGAACTGAACTAGAACTGAACTAGAACTGAACTAGAACGAACTAGAACTGAACTAGAACTGAACTAGAACTGAACTAGAACTGAACTAGAACTGAACTAGAACTGAACTAGAACTGAACTAGAACTGAACTAGAACTGAACTAGAACTGAACTAGACTGAACTAGAACTGAACTAGAACTGAACTAGAACTGAACTAGAAAACTGAACTAGAACTGAACTAGAACTGAACTAGAACTGAACTAGAACTGTACTAGAACTGAACTAGAACTGCACTAGAACTGAACTAGAACTGAACTAGAACTGTACTAGAACTGAACTAGAACTGCACTAGAACTGGAACTAGAACTGAACTAGAACTGACTAGAACTGAACTAGAACTGAACTAGAACTGAACTAGAACTGAACTAGAACTGAACTAGAACTGAACTAGAACTGACTAGAACCTGAACTAGAACCGAACTAGAACCGAACTAGAACTGAACTAGAACTGAACTAAATCTGAAGTAGAACTGAACTAGAACTGAACTAGAACTGAACTAGAACTGAACTAGAACTGAACTAGAACTGAACTAGAACTGAACTAGAACTGAACTATAACTGAACTAGAACTGAACTAGAACTGAACTAGAACTGAACTAGAACTGAACTAGAACTGAACTAGAACTGAACTAGAACTGAACTAGAACTGAACTAGAACTGAACTAGAACTGAACTAGAACTGAACTAGAACTGAACTAGAACTGAACTAGAACTGAACTAGAACTGAACTAGAACTGAACTAGTTCCGAACTGGAACTATGACCATTAGTTCTGAAAATTGAATTAAACTAATTCTATTATGACCCTCGTAAATTAACACTGTTATTTCAAATTTAAATCAATTTCAAGTGAGGGTGGGGAGAACTTATTGTTTTGTTGTTGAATTAAACTCAAGTCAATGACTTTTTAAAATATAAATTGAGCGTGGGTTTTGTTTGGATTTAAAAATTATGTGTAAAATTATTAATTAAATATTGTTAGTGGAAATATTTGTTAAACAAAATCACAACGACAATTTGAAAACAAAAGAAACATTTTTTATTAGAGATTTTAATAAAACAAATTTTTGTTCAACAAAAAAATAAAATTAATTGTTTTCTTAATAAAGTTATGTCCATATAAGGGAAATCGTTTTTATTAAAATAAAAACAAATAATATAATTTCCTAATAATTTGTTATATTTTTATAATGTTTCCATAAAGTTTCTAAAGTTTTGATTCTTTAAGTTTCTTTTACAATATAAGGTCCTAACACTTACCTTCATATCATTGATTATCTGCTGGAATAGACTCCCCAAAGCGGAGCTATCACGTTCCATGCTCATCTCCATTTTGTAGTTAATTTGGATTTTTCAGTTGTGTTCAAAAATCGTTATTGTTGATTGCTTTTTTTGTTAATAATTTTTAATTGACATTAATTAGTTTTGCAATGTAACAGTCTATGATTTTCCAAAAAAAAATTATTGCAGAGTTGAGTTTTCTTTTTAACGAAAAATAAAAAATTTTAAATAAAAACAATATGTAAAAGTAGATTTTTACAAATTGACCAAATAATACTTGGCTGTTGATTTTATTCTTTTGACGTTTCTTTTTTATTTTCTTATTTTAATTTTTATTTTCTTAATTTATTCTAGAAGTTTAATTTGTGTAAACTTCTTAAGTCGTTTGATTATAGTAAAATCTATATATAAATTGACGAGACATTTTTGTAAAAGAGTTTTGTTTTTCTTAGCTTTTTTCAAAGTCGTTTTATTTTGAAAATTGAAGTTTTAAATTGCAAGTTGTTGGTAGTTTGTTTTATTCGATCTGAAACGGGAAGAGAAAATATAATAATTTTATTATTATTTTGCCATAATTTGTTTTTAACATTGTTTTAAAACATGTAAATTTTTTATTATGCAGTCTATTGACAAAAACTAAATAAATCATCATGTTTATTATTCTTTATAAAACAAAAAATATCGGTCATAGTTTATATATCAAACAATTCTAAAATCATTATTATTATTATTTCTGTTTATGAAAAATTATCACATTCATAATTTTCTATAAGCAGAAACGGCCCCAAAGCGTAAACAGTTTCGTTCGTATCAATTTTAGGTCATGCAGTAAACAGATGCAACATCCAACGGACATCGTTAGAGCGGGGAGAAAAACGCAACAATGAATGCGTAACAACAAATCATATTCTTTTTTCGTTTTCATTTTTATGCATTCAAATTTTATGCGTTCAAAAACAAGAAAAAATTTATAGTTTATGTACATGAAAACAGCGTGACTTTATCATAAATAAATAAAGAAACTAATATGAATATAATACATTCAATAACAATGTTTATAGCCTGATAGCATTGTTTAAAATTGATAAATTGTTGAATACAAACGAATCGACAATATTGATTTACTTAAAATAAGTTTTATTATTCTTAGGGAGATGAAATATAACTGTATTAGAATAGAACTAGAACTAAACTAGAACAGAATTAAAACTAAACTAGAACGGAACTAGAACAGAACTAGAACAGAACTAGAACAGAACTAGAACAGAATTCGAACAGAACTAGAACAGAACTAGAACAGAACTAGAACAGAACTAGAACAGAACTAGAACAGAACTAGAACAGAACTAGAACAGAACTAGAACAGAACTAGAACAGAACTAGAACAGAACTAGAACAGAACTAGAACAGAACTAGAACAGAACTAGAACAGAACTAGAACAGAACTAGAACAGAACTAGAACAGAACTAGAACAGAACTAGAACAGAACTAGAACAGAACTAGAACAGAACTAGAACAGAACTAGAACAGAACAGAACTAGAACAGAACTAGAACAGAACTAGAACAGAACTAGAACAGAACTAGAACAGAACTAGAACAAAACTAGAACAGAACTAGAACAGAACTAGAACAGAACTAGAACAGAACTAGAACAGAACTAGAACAGAACTAGAACATAACTAGAACAGAACTAGAACAGAACTAGAACTAGACACTAGAACTGAACTAGAACTGAACTAGAACTGAACTAGAACTGAACTAGAACTGACTAGAACTGAAGAACTGAACTAGAACTGAACTAGAACTGAACTAGAACTGAACTAGAACTGAACTAGAACTGAACTAGAACTGAACTAGAACTGAACTAGAACTGAACTAGAACTGAACTAACTAGAACTGAACTAGAACTGAATCTAGAACTGAACTAGAACTGAACTAGAACTGAACTAGAACTGAACTAGAACTGAACTAGAACTGAACTAGAACTGAACTAGAACTGAACTAGAACTGAACTAGAACTGAACTAGAACTGAACTAGAACTGAACTAGAACTGAACTAGAACTGAACTAGAACTGAACTAGAACTGAACTAGAACTGAACTAGAACTGAACTAGAACTGAACTAGAACTGAACTAGAACTGAACTAGAACTGAACTAGAACTGAACTAGAACTGAACTAGAACTGAACTAGAACTGAACTACAACTGAACTAGAACTGAACTAGAACTGAACTGAACTAGAACTGAACTAGACTGAACTAGAACTGAACTAGAACTGAACTGACTAGAACTGAACTAGAACTGAACTAGAACTGAACTAGAACTGAACTAGAACTGAACTAGAACTGAACTAGAACTGAACTAGAACTGAACTAGAACTGAACTAGAACTGAACTAGAACTGAACTAGAACTGAACTAGAACTGAACTAGAACTGAACTAGAACTGAACTAGAACTGAACTAGAACTGAACTAGAACTGAACTAGAACTGAACTAGAACTGAACTAGAACTGAACTAGAACTGAACTAGAACTGAACTAGAACTGAACTAGAACTGAACTAGAACTGAACTAGAACTGAACTAGAACTGAACTAGAACTGAACTAGAACTGAACTAGAACTGAACTAGAACTGAACTAGAACTGAACTAGAACTGAACTAGAACTGAACTAGAACTGAACTAGAACTGAACTAGAACTGAACTAGAACTGAACTAGAACTGAACTAGAACTGAACTAGAACTGAACTAGAACTGAACTAGAACTGAACTAGAACTGACTAGAACTGAACTAGAACTGAACTAGAACTGAACTAGAACTGAACTAGAACTGAACTAGAACTGAACTAGAACTGAACTAGAACTGAACTAGAACTGAACTAGAACTGAACTAGAACTGAACTAGAACTGAACTAGATCTAAACTAGAACTAAACTAGAACTGAACTAGAATTGAACTAGAACTGAACTAGAACTGAACTGAACTGAACTAGAGTTTAGTTCTACTACTTTGCTCCAAGTTAACGACGAGAAAAAGTATATTTTCTAATTATCTATTATAACTTTGTGTAAATTTTATGACGCTTCAGTTTCTTTTGAAGTTGACACTGAAATTCCAAGCAAGGTTTTTTAATGTTTATTATTTTAATTAGACTTTAATTTGTCTAAGTAATTTTATAATTCAATGTCAGTTGTTTTCTCATAAAAAAGTGTTAGATTTGTGTTTAAAGGTGAAGTAAATAAAATCTCATTTTATGTTTTTCTCATTTAATAATTCAGTGTTAATGGGTATTTAAACACGGCATTATAAATGTAACAGCCTAAATTGATTGTTAACTTAAAAAAATATTTCTTTTTGTTATTATTATAAATATAAGATTCAGAAACCAGGGAATTTGTGTTACAATTTTTAAGGTATATCAAAAATGTTAAAAAAAAAATAACTTTACAGAAGTATTTTCGCTTTAAATGAGATTTTAATGGTACATTTGTAAATTTGTAACGCTGGCGGTATTACTTTTTTTTTTTTTTTTGTTATTTAACATTTAAAATGACCTTGTATGTATTTCAAAAAAACACAAGAATTTATTGTAAATAAATAAATGTAAATGGGTAGTAGGGAAAAATGTTATTAAATTACAAATTAATGCTTTACACTGCTTTTCAACCATTTTTGTAGTTTTTACCTTTTATAGACAAGTTAACAGAAAAACACACGAAAAAAAAATAGACTGAAAACTTGACCATACACTTAAAAGTTGTTAATTGCATTTAAATGGACAGCATGGAATCAATGGCTATTTGTTCAATGTTTACAGATGGTGTTGTTGGCTATATAACTTGGTTATAGTCAGCATGGACAAGAAAAGTTGCAACAGCTACAACAAATCATAAAAACCCTAAAATGGGTCATCACGTATCATATATATTGTCTTTAGTTGGCTGCCTGCATACATGTTTAAATGTATCGAACAGGTCATGTTTGCCTTCCCGGTATGTCTGACCGCCCAAAGACAAATACGTTTTGGCAGTAACTTAAAATAATGTCTCAAACAGCCCGTCTGTTTTTTTATAAATATTTCCCACTTGTTGTTAAAAATATTCTAAATGCATACATGAACTTCCCTTAAGTACAAAACTGCAGTCTATTTCTATTTGTGTAACTAAACAAATTTGCTTCTATTCAAACAATTTAATTCGATTGAATTGAAATTTCCTTAAATAATTACATTTAGCAAAGTTTGCATACAACTTTTTTAATTTGAAAAACGAAGAAGAAGAAAAAAAAACAGAAAAATAAACATGTCTTTATAAAGTAATAGTGCTCTGACTAGAAGACTTCCTCAATATATGCATTAATTTAGCTGCCAAATACAGTCTAGTACCCACTACACGTCTATATAAATAAAGTAGAAAATAAATTAGGAATTGCTTTATTTAGAAAGTAGTTGAAGTATTTAAGTTTGTATGGCTTTAAAGTGATGTCACTTTATTATGGAGTTTGAACTTTTGATATTTAAAAGTCTATTTATAAGGATGATGGATTATTTAAAATGTGTAGTGTGGTTTTAGGAAAAAATTAAATAATTTATTGAAAAAGTTGTCTTTGGTTTTAAAGGAACTAAAAGCACGCTATTAGATATATTCTCGTTAGTGTTCAGGTCTAGTTCAGTTCTAGTTTAGTTCTAGTTCAGTTCTAGTTCAGTTCTAGTTCAGTTCTAGTTCAGTTCTAGTTCAGTTCTAGTTCAGTTCTAGTTCAGTTCTAGTTCAGTTCTAGTTCAGTTCTAGTTCAGTTCTAGTTCAGTTCTAGTTCAGTTCTAGTTCAGTTCTAGTTCAGTTCTAGTTCTAGTTCAGTTCTAGTTCAGTTCAGTTCTAGTTCTAGTTCAGTTCTAGTTCAGTTCTAGTTCAGTTCTAGTTCAGTTCTAGTTCAGTTCTAGTTCTAGTTCTAGTTCAGTTCTAGTTCAGTTCTAGTTCAGTTCTAGTTCAGTTCTAGTTCAGTTCTAGTTCAGTTCTAGTTCAGTTCTAGTTCAGTTCTAGTTCTAGTTCAGTTCTAGTTCAGTTCTAGTTCAGTCCTAGTTCAGTTCTAGTTCAGTTCTAGTTCAGTTCTAGTTCAGTTCTAGTTCAGTTCTAGTTCAGTTCTAGTTCAGTTCTAGTTCAGTTCTAGTTCAGTTCTAGTTCAGTTCTAGTTCAGTTCTAGTTCAGTTCTAGTTCAGTTCTAGTTCAGTTCTAGTTCAGTTCTAGTTCAGTTCTAGTTCAGTTCTAGTTCAGTTCTAGTTCAGTTCTAGTTCAGTTCTAGTTCAGTTCTAGTTCAGTTCTAGTTCAGTTCTAGTTCAGTTCTAGTTCAGTTCTAGTTCAGTTCTAGTTCAGTTCTAGTTCAGTTCTAGTTCAGTTCTAGTTCAGTTCTAGTTCAGTTCTAGTTCAGTCTAGTTCTAGTTCTAGTTCTAGTCAGTTCTAGTTCAGTTCTAGTTCAGTTCTAGTTCAGTTCTAGTTCAGTTCTAGTTCTAGTTCAGTTCTAGTTCTAGTTCAG